ACAGCCCGGGGTGGCGGGGGCGGCGGGGGCGGTGGCGGAGGCGGCGGGGGCCCGGGGTCTCGGCAGGCCGCGTAGCGCTGCACGGTGCACGCCGCACGCCGCCCGAAGCCCGCCTCCGGCTGGAAGCTGCTCTCTCGCCTCTGGCCGCCGGCGTAGTACCCAGGCGAGTGGTCGCTGGGTAGGTAATCGCTCTGTGAATATTCCTCGCACGGAGGGAACTTGGGGTCGACATAGTTTGAGTTGATCAAAAAAGAACTCATAGCCATTAATTTCTGGGAATTGCCCACAAAATATACTAAAATTTATTCCGACCCCTGACTCGTTTTCCTGTTTCCGAAAGCCCTCCTACTTACTGTCAAGTGAACAAAGTTAGGGGCCCACGTGATCCTCGGAGCCAATGGCCACCCCGCCTGCGATTCCCGGATAAGGAAATCTGCTCACCCGGACCCTACTCCAGCCAAAGAGGTTTATTTCCCCTTCTCTCCCCCTCCCCACCCACCCAACACCAGGATTTACATAGGGCTCCTACGGGGCGACCCCCTCCTCCTTAGCTCTCTCCGACTGCGGAGAGAGCCCGAGATGGAGGGAGACAGAGCGTGCTTGGTGCGACTGGAGGGCCTGCTGGGGGACGGGAGGTCTGGCCAGAGCGCAATCCTTGGATGCCCTCAGAAGTTGGGGCTCCGGGTGTAGCCCCTCCTACCGGACCTCACCTCTGCCCACCATTCTCTGCCTTCCACAGGACCCCATCTCTTCCCCCAGATCAGAGGGAGCTCATGCACCCCGTGACTGTGTGGGGAGTTAAGTGACCGGCGGGCCAGGGGACTCCTTCCAGAAAGGGGAACCCACTGGGATAGAGGGGCGCTGAGCTTGGGCCTTTTCACTGCAGCCAGATGGGAAGGGGTTGGAGGTGAGAGAGGAGGCGACGGGAGCTGGAGGGCGGGTGCGCGAGGGACTTGTCAGAGATGAATGGAACCTCGAGCGGATCGATAGGAAATTCATGCACTAATTCGGGGAGACTTCGCCTTCCAAATCGCATTTAGCTTCGCTATTGCATGGCTGTGTCCGTCAGTCCGTCTGTCCCCCCCTTCTCCGATTCAAACCTCCCTTTGCCCCACATGGCCCATGCTCGCAGAACCGACTTGACTTTCCACACTCAAGAAAAGAGCTGGAGTGAAAACAAAAACAAAAAACCCTGCAACTTTGGAACGCAAATTGAATAGTAATGTGTTAATTCCAGAATCTTCTGAGCAATACTAACCATGGCGCCAAGAGTTCTAATTGTCGCCAATGCAGCATCCTCTGCCTCTGGCAGATAGATATTTCACATCCTTGCGGTGCACACGAAGGAGCCCTAGCAGTGACACCCCCCCACCCCAACACACGCATAACACCCCTGGCAAGCTCGTATTTTCAAGGTATCTGGTCCTAAACCCAAAAGGAAAGGCGACCTCAGCATCCGTTTGAAAAGCAAATTTCCTTTGCCTTTACACATATATAGGCAGCAGTAATTCGCCCCCAGGATTTCCAATAAAGCCCCTTGAACCCAAAATAGAAAATAGGTGGGTTTGGGCTCCAGGATGTTTTTTTAAAAAACAACAACATTAACATGGACCCTGGCTTCCAGAACAAGCTTGGGGAAGAGTTCAGGTAGGTAAAATTTCTCCCTCTCTAACAGCTGAGGGAGAAAAAGAGAAAGAAAAAAGGAATCTTCCTGCAGCTAGTCACCGGATTGTCCTCATTTAGAAAAATCTTTTTCTTCTGGGAAAAAAAATGAGCGGAGTGTTTATGTCAACTACATATTCCCCTAGATACGAATTTGTGACCACAAAATTCCTTACACAAATTCGGATCTACAGGGTATATACAGAAGACAGACAGATCTTCTTGGCTCAGAAATTTTCCAGTTCTACTTTCCGTGCGTTCTTCTTTTGGGGTGTGGTTTGAGAGCTTTCATTTTATTTCGTTTTGTTCTACTTTTGAGCTCTGGGAACAGAAAAAAAAAAAAAGGCACTGTGGGTCCATTCCTGGGATTACAAGGTTTTCAACTCTCCTATCAAAAAGAAATAGAGGCAGCTTTTGCGCAAAGGGGCTCAAACCTCGTGGCGGCGCGCGACTTTCGGTGGCCGCATGAATTATGAGATGTAAACATTAGCTGAGCACAAAAGGAGAAAGGGTCATCCTGAGGCTGTCTCCAAGTCAGAATCAGGCCTTTCTGGGTGCCCTCGTGCCCCTCCCCTCCCCCAGGACTTTTTTTTTTTTTTTTTTAAGGAAAAAACAAAACCCCAAACTGGCTCCTCCCTTGCCACTCACAGCCTTTAGTTTGTGATCAAACGAATATTTAGATATTTTCCAAAGCAAAAGGAGGAGGGAAAGGCGATTGGGTGTGAAGGGGGTGTAATAAAAGTCCTTTTCGAAAAATGTGAATGGTTAAAAGAGAAGGAAACAGCTGTGAAGAAAAATGCTGGGAGACCAAGCAGATGGGGGGCCCCCCAGATATTTAATGACGGGTAATTCCGTTTACAACCTGAGAAAAAGATCAAAGGCAATTCATTTCCGAATGAAGGGCAATGAGGAACCATAAAACAGGCAGCCAGATGATGTGCAGGCCCCTCCCAGCCTCCCATACCCCCCTCCACACCTAAGGGCCAGAATGAGGGGGCAATCCCTGAGCCCTGTGGGGAAGACCTCCACTACCCCCTTTCTAGCCCCAGGCCAATCCTCTGTCTAGATGCACACTAACTGGGCCAAGCCACCTGCTTGACTTGCTGGCAGTGGGGCCAAAATGGGAATCTGAAGTTTCTAAACTAACTTCCTCAGGCTCCCAGTAACTGTCGAATTTACTAAATTGGAAGATGAGAAATTGAGGGAACTGAGCCTTCCATGGTGAAGGCTATGACCTGGTGAGGGCCTGTGTGCCCAGCAGACGCCTCCTCACCACCTTGCTCTCTAGGTTTAAGAAATACTTTTGTCCTCACTGAGTAAATCAGAACACTTGTCAATTTCAGTAATATATTCAAACAAGCTAAAGCAACTGTCTAACCACCTCACCCATCCACAGACCTGGAACCCTTGCAAGTGAGTAGGAGAAAATCTCCCACCTGCAGCCAACTAGGTCTAGAGACCCTCTGTTTTACTGTTAATCTTAAACCTAAGACACAGCAATGTTGGCCTCTGGGTTTGGTTTCTAACCCCAATGAGCTAGGCCACACTCATATATCTTGGAGAGGGAAAAAAAAAATACATTGTAGTTTTTATCTTCATCAAAGACAGGATCCAAGCTGAGTATCCATAGATTAAGTACTCTGCTTTGGTCCCATCAGCTTAGAAGCAATAATCTTTCACGAAGTTTTCTCAAAGGATGTTTAGGGGTTCCATAACCCATTCCAACAGTCCAGGCCCCTCCTCTATATCCTATACCTCCTGTCCTCCTCAACTCGCAGCTTTGGGAAACTGTTCCAATTCATGCGGGGTTCAGAAGTTTGGGAAAGCAGCTGAGCTGGCCACCCGGCTGCTTTGCTGACCTACACTTTACAGGAGATGCGGCCCAGGTGTCCCCAAGCACCCAGAGAGACTTACAGAGGTTGAGAGACTGCAGGGCTGGGTATGGTTGATCCTGGGGCTAGAACACCGAGATTTGGGGCTCTGAGAACTGGGAGCCGCCACCTGTCCTCCCACAAAGGTTCAGAAACACCCCCCACCCTCACTCCAGCCAGTGCAGACGCCTGGGGCGGGAGGATAGGATTTATCAGAGACTTCCAGGACAGGTTTACCGGAGCTAGAGACTGCCTTGCCTCTTTACACCCAGAAGAATACCAACAATAAGCATAACAAAAATGAGACCCGGGGCCTCACGCACTTTCTGAGCCACCGCTCAGATGCTCCCAGGTCCTTTGAAGGCCTTCTGGCAGCCACAGGTTGCTAGCTTGACCTCTTGCTGCCCAGCCCACCCCGCCTGCCTCCGCCATCTCAGGCGTGCCCAGGCCCAGAAAAATCATCCACCTTTTGTCGCGAGGAGGAAGAGATGCAGAGAGGAAGAAAAGCCCTAGGACAGAGCAGAAGCTGGTCCCCAACCTTCCGGCGCACCCGCAGCCGCAGAGCAGAGCGAGGCCCAGCGGCGGCAGGCGGTACTCACCCAGCCGCTCCCCGCACGCTCCTGGCCGACCCGCCGCGGACCCGCTGAGCAACAGCCGAGCTTGCTCCTGCCCAGTATTGTGTGTCCGGAGAACCGCACCGCAGCAGCGGGCAGAAGAGCCACAGGGCCCCCCTCGCAAGCCGGAACAAGACTTTTTTTTTTTTTTTTTTTTTTTGGTGTTTTTGTTTTGAAGCTCAAGTTTTCGTATTAATCTCATACTTTGGCAGTCTTTGTTAAACAGCTAGGAGCGTCACCAGGCTCTCGAACATTTTAATAATTTTTAGACGCCGTGACCTGCGGTTCACCCCTTTCCGGGCCTCCCCCAAGAGCAGGCAGTTACTATAATATGCTCACGCAGTTCGCTCGGTCATATTGAATTTTGCGCAGGTCATTACTTGGGAGAAAAATGACAGAGCAGGAATTTGATTCAGCTTACCCTCTCCCCCACCCAACCCCCACCCCAAAAATCCCCATTGGAAAAGGATTTACGCGACCCGCCCCTACTTTGATTTTTCCATCCTTACTATATTTTTGTGGGCTCTGGTTCTCAGGGCTAAGAGCCAAGAGTGTGATCCCATGGGGGAGGGGGATCCTTCTGGGGCCTGAGAACTAAATAGGCTGGAAGTGGCACCGGAAGAGCTGAAAGTGTGGCACTGGGCATCTGTACCCAAGAAAGCGGGCCTAGCCAAGAGTTCCCTTCCCTCAGCTTTCCCCTTAAATGCCTACAGCAGCTTGACAGCCTGTGAACACTGAGACCCCACTATCCACTTCATCCACTTTTTTTGCTCCCCCAAATGCCAGGTACACTGCCACTTCTGCCCAAACTCTAGAGGCCCCCCCAGAAATGACTCCCCCACTTCTTGGGAAGAGTGGAGTTTGATCCATACCAGAGCACATTTAGGAAAGAGAGAGAGCCAAGGGAGGGGGCTAGTTGCACTGGCCAAAGATGGGAACTTGAGGACATGGTTTTCAGATGCTTTAATTGTCCTTTAAAACAAAACAATCCCCCTGCCCATTAAAAAAAAAAAAAAAAGGCATAGTTCTCATCTATACAGCTGACCCCATGACTACCAGGAGAAAGATGAGAAGCAAATCAAAGGCATTGAAATATTCAAAGATGTTCTAGAATCTGGGGAATGTGTGCAACACATCTTTCCCTTTCTCTAGCCCCCTGTACAGCCCAGAGGTAGGATGGATGGCTCTCTTTCCACCAGTCCAGAGTTCAGGCCTAGGGTCAGCACTAGGAAAGGGTTCTAATAGAGGTGG